GAACCTGAGCTAACCCCTCCCGTCCCTCCACAGCCCAGCGCTCTAGTGAGTGTTGGAGGAGCGGAGCAAAGGGTCCGTGACTGACAGTCCCGGCTCTCCGCTCAGAGTGGAGGGAGAGAACTGAGTGATCCGCAGTGCTTAATCGCTCAGTTCTTGCTGTAGAGTTGATAGAGAACAGATGCAGCAGCAGATCGATGCTGCATCGACCTAGGTGAGTATAAATGGTTTTTTTTTTTTTTTTTTTTTAACCACAACCTGTCCAGCTCATGTATATAAACGGCCGGATGGGAGCAGTGCAGGGGCAGGTGGCCGTTTATAAATGTCCTCCCGCTTCCCTGCCTGTGCGCGCTCCCTGGGAGCACGCGGCACCGCGATCCAGTGCCCGCTGTGTCCTCCGGACACAGCAGAACACCGATCGCTGTACGGGAGCTCTGTGTGTGGTACGGATCATGTGATCACTGATTGGCCAATCAGTGATCACATGAAGAGTAGTAAGCAAGATGTCACTTCTGACATCATTGCATACTACTAATGAAATCTGTGAATGATCACAAAGGTCACATGGTACAGGGCTATTCACAACAACCTTGTACCATGTGACAAGCTGTGACCAATCACAGCTCTTACAGTATTTCTCAATGGCTGCAAGAATGCAGCCAGAGAGAAGGAGAAATGATTGCTTTTACAGCCTTTATGGGTATAAAAGCAATCAGTGTAAAAAAAAAGAAAACAAAATCTTCATCACCCCCCACAAGTAGGGGGTGACAGTATGTAAAAAAATAAAAATATATAAAAAAAAAAATAAAATTAAAATGTAAAAAATCTTTTGGAAAAATTATCATTTTTGGTTGTAAACTAATTTGGGTTTTTTTTTTAAACTGAAAAGATAGCTGAATACATTTTGTCCAATATTTATGAGGAAAGATTATTTATTTGCAAAATGTTATCAGAAAAACACTTTTTATTCAACATTTTTTGACTTTTTCATTTATATAGCAAAAAAAATAAAAATCCCAGTGGTGAACAAATACCACCAAAATAAATTTTTATCTGTCTCAAAAAAATTCATATGGGTACAGTGTTGCATGACCGCGCAATTGTCATTCAAACTGTGATAGCGTTGAAAGCAGAAAATTGGCCTGGGCGCGAAGGGGGGGGAAAGCGTCCGGACTGGAAGGGGGGGAAAGCGTCCGGACTGGAAGGGGGGGAAAGCGTCCGGACTGGAAGGGGGTGAAAGCGTCCGGACTGGAAGGGGGTGAAAGCGCCCGGACTGGAAGGGGGTGAAAGCGCCCGGACTGGAAGGGGGGAAAGCGTCCGGACTGGAAGGGGGTGAAAGCGTCCGGACTGGAAGGGGCTGAAAGCGTCCGGACTGGAAGGGGCTGAAAGCGTCCGGACTGGAAGGGGCTGAAAGCGTCCGGACTGGAAGGGGCTGAAAGCGTCCGGACTGGAAGGGGCTGAAAGCGTCCGGACTGGAAGGGGCTGAAAGCGTCCGGACTGGAAGGGGCTGAAAGCGTCCGGACTGGAAGGGGCTGAAAGCGTCCGGACTGGAAGGGGCTGAAAGCGTCCGGACTGGAAGGGCTGAAAAGCGTCCGGACTGGAAGGGGCTGAAAGCGTCCGGACTGGAAGGGGCTGAAAGCGTCCGGACTGGAAGGGGCTGAAAGCGTCCGGACTGGAAGGGGCTGAAAGCGTCCGGACTGGAAGGGGCTGAAAGCGTCCGGACTGGAAGGGGTGAAAGCGTCCGGACTGGAAGGGGTGAAAGCGTCCGGACTGGAAGGGGGGAAAGCGTCCGGACTGGAAGGGGCTGAAAGCGTCCGGACTGGAAGGGGGGGAAAGCGTCCGGACTGAAAGCGTCCGGACTGGAAGGGGGGGAAAGCGTCCGGACTGGAAGGGGGGGAAAGCGTCCGGACTGGAAGGGGGGGAAAGCGTCCGGACTGGAAGGGGCTGAAAGCGTCCGGACTGGAAGGGGGGGGAAAGCGTCCGGACTGGAAAGGGGTGGAAAAGCGTCCGGACTGGAAGGGGGGGGGCTGAAAGCGTCCGGACTGGAAGGGGCTGAAAGCGTCCGGACTGGAAGGGGGGGAAAGCGTCCGGACTGGAAGGGGGGAAAGCGTCCGGACTGGAAGGGGGGGAAAGCGTCCGGACTGGAAGGGGGGGGCGGACTGGAAGGGGGGGAAAGCGTCCGGAACTGGAAGGGGGGAAAGCGTCCGGAAAGGGGGAAAGCGTCCGGACTGGAAGGGGGGGAAAAAGTCCGGACGAGGGGGGGAAAGCGTCCGGACTGGAAGGGGGGGGAAAGCGTCCGGACTGGAAGGGGGGGAAAGCGTCCGGACTGGAAGGGGGGGAAAGCGTCCCCGGACTGGAAGGGGGGGGGGAAAGCGTCCGGACTGGAAAGGGGGGGAAAGCGTCCCGGGACTGGAAGGGGGGGAAAGCGTTTCCGGACTGGAAAGGGGGAAAGGTCCGACTGGAGGGGGGGAAAGCGTCCGGACTGGAAGGGGGGGAAAGCGTCCGGACTGGAAGGGGGGAAAGCGTCCGGACTGGAAGGGGGGGAAAGCGTCCGGACTGGAAGGGGGGGAAAGCGTCGGACTGGAAGGGGGGGGAAAGCGTCCGGACTGGAAGGGGGGGGAAAGCGTCCGGACTGGAAGGGGGGGAAAGCGTCCGTGACTGGAAGGGGGGGAAAGCGTCCGGACTGGAAGGGGGGGAAAGCGTCCGGACTGGAAGGCGGGGGGGGAAAGCTGGAAGGGGGGAAAGCGTCCGGACTGGAAGGGGGGGAAAGCGTCCGGACTGGAAGGGGGTGAAAGCGTCCGGACTGGAAGGGGGGGGAAAGCGTCCGGACTGGAAGGGGTGAAAGTGACCCGGACTTGAAATGGTTAAGTGACCCCTAAATTACTGTTCACCTTCATCCGTCCCCTGACAGCTACATTAAAGGTTATGGGCTGCACAGTAGCTAAATGGTTGGCACTTCTGCCTGGCAGTACTCGGGTCGTTGGTTCGAATCCCAACCACGGCACCAACTGCCTGGAGTTTGCATGTTCTCCCTGTGCGGGTTTCCTCTGGGTACTCCTGTTTCCTCCCACACTCCAAAGACATGCTGGTAGGTGAATTGGCTCCTGTCTAAATTGGCCCCTAGTATGTGTATGTATGAATGTGAGTTAGGGACCTTAGATTGTACACCCCTTGAGGGTTAGGGACTGATGTGAATGTACAATATATATATGTAAAGTGCTGCGTAAATTGATGGCGCTATATAAGTATCTGAAATAAATAAATATAAAGGGATGGAGGGTGGGGTGGAGGAGCTGGGCCAGCAGAGAGAGTGGAGAGGGGGTAAAAGTGTCCGGACTTGAAGTGGCTAAAGTCCATTTTTAACTCATAGCGTGCCTTCAATTTTTACAAAGTGGCTGAATTCCTGGAATTCCGTTTTAATTCGTAAAATCGACATTAACCCCTTGCCTACCGGGCACTTATACCCACTTCCTTACCAGGCCAATTTTCAGCTTTCAGCGCTGCCGCACTTTGATTGACAATTGCGCGGTCATGCAACATTGTACCCATTTGAAATTTTTTTTTTCCTCACAAATAGAGCTTTCTTTTGGTGGTATGTCCTCCCCGCTGGGCGCTTTACTTTTTGCGCTATAAATAAAAAAGTGCAAAAAATTTGAAGAAAAAAAAAAAAGTTTCTTTGTTTCTATTATAAATTTTTTCAAACAGGCATTTTTCTCCTTCACTGATGTGCGTTGATGAGGCAGCACTGATGAGCACTGATAGGCGGCACTGATGGGCACTGATAGGCAGCAATGATGGGCACTACTAATGAGGTGGCACTGATAGACAGCACTAATGAGGTGTCACGGATAGGCGGCACTAATATGCAGCACTGATAGGCGGCACTGATAGGTGACACTGATGATGGGTACTGATAGACGGCACTGACTGGCATCACTGCTGGGCACTGACTGGCACAACCCCTGGGCACTGACTGGAAGCACTGCTGGGCTGCACTGGTGGGTGGTACTGGTGGGCAGCACTGGTGGGTGGGCACAGGTGGGTGGCACTGATGGGCATAGGTGGGTGGGCACAGGTCGGTGGCACTGCTGGGCACATGTAGGTGGCACTTCTGGGCACAGGTAGGTGGCACTGCAGAGTGGCACAGGTGGGTGCACTGCTGGGCACAGGTGGGTGCACTGCTGGGCACTGCTGGGCGGAACTTGCGGGTGGCACTGCTGGGTACCGATCATCAGGGCACTGATCATCAGTGCCCTGATGATCGGTGCCGATCCCCGCTCTGACAACTGCCGGTTCTCGGCAGTACTTTCCTCACGATCTGACAGCGTGAGGAAAGTGCAGCCGAGAACCGGCACTTGCATTTCCCTCTGATCAGCGTGTCATTGGACACCGCTGATCAGGTGGTAAAAGGCCGCTGTGATTGGCCTTTTACCACATCACGTGATCAGCTGTGTCCGTAGGACACAGCGATCACGGAGATCGCCGGGTGCGCGCCCCCTGGGGAGCGCAGGAGAGCGCGTTCTGGGAGGACGTCATATGACCTCCACCCAGAACTGGCCGGCCGCAGTGCAGCCGTCATTCGGCTATCTGCGGTCGGCAGGTAGTTAAACTACCCTTGATCCAATTGTTCATATGTGACTACTAACCATGGTTTCTTGCAAGCGCCGGAAAACAGCACTTGAAGCGGCATTAGAAAAAGTTACTCGATACCAATGAATAGAAATATATATGACCTTCCCCCTATAGACTGTACTGTATATTAGAAGTACTAGGCAGGGGCGGACTGAAAATTCATGGAGCCCCCCCGGGCAATAGGAAATTATGGGGCTCCGGTGTCCTCTCCCACACTCAAACCACACCCAAAAAAGCCTATGAATGGTACCAGGGGCATCTCATGGGGCCCCCTACTGACCCCAGGCCCTCGGGCAGTGCCCAAGTGACTAAATGGTCAGTCCGCCCCTGGTAGTAGGTAAAACTTTCAGATTTATTGTTGGTACACAACCTCAATACTGCCGAGTGCCCCAGAGATTGGCCGGACACGTCTTGTGTTTTTGTGGCCTTACCTTTCCTACCAGCTGCACAATCTCAGCCAAGTCCTCCTCTTCCTGCAGGATCTCTTTGGATTTGGTCCTCAGTGGGACGAACTCGGGGAAGTGTTTGTCGTAGTATTCGTCCAGAGCCCTCGTGTACTTACTGTAGCTGATCAGCCAGTTCACTGAGGGGAAGTGCTTCCTCTGGGCCAGCTTCTTATCCAACCCCCAGAACACCTGCCGACACAACAGAGGGAGATATAGATCATTTCGCTCGACCACTCCAGCCAGACCGATCTGTACTTTCAGCATTGCGTGAGCATTCCTTGATATTTTCACCCCACAGATCTCCTTGCAGTGGCGCACTTCACGCACATCACCAGCTGTAGACATCATCCTGGTATAACCACTAAAACCCAAGGACGTCATGTGACATCCTACAGGTGGGCAAGTGCTTAACCACTTCCCGTCCGGCCCATGTACATATACAGCCAGACGGGAGCACTGCCGGAGCGGGTGGACGTTTCTAAATGCCCCCTCGCATCCATTGCCTATGCACGGCACCGCAATCGGCGCCCGAAGAACGATCGCTGTGTGGGACCTCTGTGTGAGGTCCCGATTTATGTGATCACTGATTGGCCAATCAGTGATCACATGAACAGTAGTAAACAATGACATCCTGACATCATTGCTTACTACCCATTTTGATAAACGGCCGGACGGGAGCGCTGCCGCAGCGGGTGGACGATTCTAAATGCCCCCCCGCATCCATTTCCTGGGTAACGCGCGGCACTGCGATTCGTGCCCGCTGTGTCCTCCAGACACAACAGAACACAGATCGCTGTACGGGACCTCTGTGTGAGGTCCCGATCATGTGATCCCTGATAGGCCAATCAGTGATCACATGAATAGTAGTAAACAAGATGTCACTTCCTGACATCACTGCTTACTACATGTGAAATCTGTGAATGATCACAGAGGTCACATGGTACAGGGCTATTCACAACAGCTCTGTACCATGTGACAAGCTGTGACCAATCACAGCTCACACAGTATTTCTCAATGGCTGCAGGAATGCAGCCAGAGAGAAGGAGAAATTATTGCTTTTACAGCCTTTATGGGTGTAAAAGCAATCAGTGTAAAAAAAGAAAAAAAAAATCTTCTTCATCACCCCCCACAAGTTGTACAGTGTCACTATGCTAAAACTGTACTGCTAGGGTGGGGGTGGGGTTTAGAGTCATGTGACGTCGGGAAGCGTGGCGGAGTTTAGAGTCATGTGACGTCGGGAAGCGTGGGGAAGCGGAGTTTAGAGTCATGTGACGTCGGGAAGCGTGGCGGAGTTTAGAGTCATGTGACGTCGGGAAACGGGGCGGGGGGAAGCGAAACGGGGCGGAGTTTAGAGTCATGTGACGTCGGGAAGCGGGGTGGGGTTTAGAGTCATGTGACGTCGGGAAGCGGGGTGGGGTTTAGGGTCAAGTGATGTCGGGAAACGGGGCGGGGTTTAGTCAAGTGAAGTCAGGAGAGTGGGGTGGGGTTTAGGGTCAAGTGATGTTGGGAAACGGGGCGGGGTTTAGAGAGTCTCAGGAGTGATCCTCAGGAAGCGGGGCGGGGTTTAGAATCATGTGACATCAGGAAGCGGGGTGGGGTTTAGAGTCATGTGACGTCGGGAAGCGGGGCGGTGTTTAGAGTCATGTGACATTGGGGAGAGGGGCGGGATTTAGAGTCTGGCAGTCACATGATCAGAAAGCTCCTGATCGCAAGTAGCGATCGGGACCTTTCCATGAGGCGCTGGCAACTTTGCCGGGGTAGAGCGCAGGGCCCGTGCTCTTGGTACATCTTTTGTTTACATTGGGTGTGCAAATATACACCAGTTTGGCGCCAAGGCCCAGCCGCCGAGAGGCCGCAGATTTGCGTGCACTCAGCGCGAAGGAGTTACCAAAGAAAATGTAAATTGCAGATTTCATTACCTGAACAATACCCAATGTTGCCGATGTGACAGGATCTGAGAAATCACCACCTGGAGGCGACACACTAAAAGGGAGACACAAAATAATTGTGCATCTCAGCTTACTAAACATTTAAATATACAAAGAAAACGGTCACAAAACAATGGATGCTGGGGACACCTCAACTGTCACTAAGGGTTCAATCAGATGGGTGCAGGCAGCCTATAGCAGTGGATGCAGATGTACTGGCTGCGTGGCCACAAGAGCATGTCAGAATCTGACGTGTGCAGGATTGGGTGGACGGATCTGAACGTATACTGAGTGTGTTGGGATCTGTGCATCCATGGCGGTCAGAATACCTGAACAGTGTCTGAATCTGATTGGATGCGATCACCGTTCAGCCGATAAATTCCTGCCCTGCTCGGTTGATCGTTCTACTTTGGTCAAGATTAATGGTTCCCACAAAGTGAGCCACAGCTCAGATTTTTCCCGACTCAACAAAAATCAACTGAATGCCAAGCAGTGAATAACTACCATGAATGAATGAAATTTAGTTTGCTTTGTGTACTGTGTATAATAAAGTTTTTTGGGTTTTTTTTTTGTTTATTTTCATCCTTTGTTGCATCTCAGTGCTTTTGATCTCCTGCTGTCACTTCCTCCTGCGATGGCTGCATGGCATTTTTCAGGGCGGGTTTCCTGATGATGACTACAGTGGACCAGGTCTGTATAATCTGCATTGGCAAAGCTTATTGTTGTCTTGCTTGAGAGAGCATGTGACAGGGTGACAACTGGGAGACAGCGATGGACTGCCCCCCCCCAAAAAACAGGAAGTGCCTGATCAAGGAGCTATATGGCAGGATCACCAGGGATTGTTTTAATGAAAGCTGTGTATTTTAAAAATATTGAAAACGACTTCTGAAAATATAATAGTTGGGAACACAGAATTCCAAGAATGGATATTTTATACATAGCTACACTGGTCCAGCTTGTATGTATACTAGACCTGTGGGATCCCGCTAGAAAATTGGAAATCTCTGTAGTAGTCACCGTTACTCCACTGATCTCCAATAGATCCTGTGCTGAGCGGCTGGCGTTGTAAACACAGGAGGTTGGAAGCTTGGTACAAGTGCCATTCAGAGCAGGTTTACTTTTTTCTGAATGAATGCAAGTCATTCTCTGACTGGATGAGGTGGAGAGGCGGGGCAGCGACATAATGAGTTAATATGTCAAATGTTTTTGTTCGAGTTGATCCTTCATGACAACTGTCCAGGATTTGAGTTAAACCCCTTGATGCCGATCGCACGCAAATATGCAGCCTCTTGGCGTCTGGGCCTTGATGCCGAGCAGCCGCATATTTGCGTGCAATTACATATGTTCTGAGAGTGCACGCCCTGCACGTTCCCAGCACATATGTCCGCGACTCCCGGAATGGTCCCAATCTTCCCTTTCGATCGGGACCTATTCCGATCATGTGACCGCCGTGACGGTCACGGTGGTCACATGACCCTAAAACCCACCCCGCCTCCCGGCTTCTGAAACTCTTAAAGGGACGGGAGGCGCAGGTGCGAAGAGGTTAAAAGCCTCCTCTTTTTGATCAAGAGATCAGGTCTATACCATTTGCTATGTTCAGGGACCTCTGTGAGCATTAATCACTTAAGGTCTGCCCTATAGCAGTCTGACTGCTAGAGAGTGGCTCTCCTGCGCAAAATCATGTATACAAAAAAAAAGAGAATATTGTGCAAAAGTTCATTTATTTCAGTGCAGCAACTTAAAAGGTGACACTAATATAGGAGATAGACTCATTACATGCAAAGCAAGATAGTTCAAGCCGTGATTTGTCATCATTGTGATGATTATGGCTTACAGCTCATGAAAACCCCAAATCCACAATCTCAGAAAATGAGAATATTCCATGCAATCAATAAAAAACACGGATTGTACATAGAACAATATCGGACCTCTGAGAAGTAGAAGCTGCATATGTACTCAGTACTTGGTTTGGGCCCCTTTTGCAGCAATTACTGTCTCAATGCGGCGTGGCATGGAAGCTATCAGCCTGTGGCACTGCTGAGGTGTTATGGAAGACCAGGATGCTTCAATAGCGGCCTTCAGCTCTTCTGCATTGTTCGGTCTCATGTCTCTCATCTTTCTCTTGGCAATGCCCCATAGATTCTCTATGGGGTTCAGGTCAGGAGAGTTTGCTGGCCAATCAAGCACAGTAATCCCACGGTCATTGAACCAGGTTTTGGTGCTTTTGGCAGTGTGGGAGGTGCCAAGTCCTGCTGGAAAATGAAGTCAGCATCCCCATAAAGCTCGTCTGCGGAAGGAAGCATGAAGTGCTCCTGGTAGACGGCTGCGTTGACCCTGGACTTAATGAAGCACAGTGGACCAACACCAGCAGATGACATGGCTCCCCAAATCAACACAGACTGTGGAAACTTCACACTGGACTTCAAGCATCTTGCAGTGTGTGCCTCTCCATTCTTCCTCCATACTCGGGGTCCTTGTGCCTCTCCATTCTACCTCCATACTCGGGGTCCTTGGGCCTCTCCATTCTTCCTCCATACTCGGGGTCCTTGGGCCTCTCCATTCTTTCTTCCTCCATACTCGGGGTCCTTGGGCCTCTCCATTCTTCCTCCATACTCGGGGTCCTTGTGCCTCTCCATTCTTCCTCCATACTCGGGGTCCTTGTGCCTCTCCATTCTTCCTCCATACTCGGGGGTCCTTGGGCCTCTCCATTCTTCCTCCATACTCGGGGTCCTTGGGCCTCTCCATTCTTCCCTCCATACTCGGGGTCCTTGGGCCTCTCCATTCTTCCTCCATACTCGGGGTCCTTGGGCCTCTCCATTCTTCCTCCATACTCGGGGTCCTTGGGCCACTCCATTCTTCCTCCATACTCGGGGTCCTTGTGCCTCTCCATCCTTCCTCCATACTCGGGGTGCTTGGGCCTCTCCATTCTTCCTCCATACTCGGGGTCCTTGAGCCTCTCCATTCTTCCTCCATACTCGAGGTCCTGGCCTCTCCATTCTCTCCATTCTTCCATACTCAAGGTCCTTGGGCCTCTCCATTCTTCCTCCATACTCGGGGTCCTTGTGCCTCTCCATCCTTCCTCCATACTCGGGGTGCTTGGGCCTCTCCATTCTTCCTCCATACTCGGGGTCCTTGGGCCTCTCCATTCTTCCTCCATGCTCGGGGTCCTTGGGCTTCTCCATTCTTCCTCCATACTCGGGGTCCTTGGGCCTCTCCATTCTTCCTCCATACTCGGGGTCCTTGGGCCTCTCCATTCTTCCTCCATACTCGGGGGTCCTTGGTTTCCAAATGAAATTCAAAAGTTGCTCTCATCAGAAAAGAGGACTTTGGACCACTGAGCACCAGACCAGGTCTGTTTTTCTTTAGCCCAGGTAAGACGCTTCTGACGTTGTTTGTTGTTCAGGAGCGGCTTGACAAGAGGAACACGACATTTGAAGCCCATGTCCAGGATCCGTCTGTATGTGGTGGCTCTTGATGCACTGACTCCAGCCTCAGTCCACTCCTTGTGAAAGTCCCCAACATTTTTAAATGGCCTTTTCCTGACAATCCTCTCCAAGCTGCGGTCATCCCTGCTGCTTGTGCACCTTTTTCTTCCACACTTTTCCCTTCCACATAACTTTCTATTAATGTGCTTTGATGCAGCACTTTGGGAACATCCAACTTCTTCTGCAATTCCCTTTTGAGGCTTTCCCTCCTTATGGAGGGTGTCAGTGATGGTGTCAGGTCAGCAGTCTTTCCCATGATTGTGATTCCTACTGAACCAGACTGAGAGACCATTTAAAGGCTCAGGAACCCTTTGCAGTGTGTTATGGCTGAATGAGCTGATTAGAGTGGGACACTTTTTGAGCCGAGAATATTCCACCTTTTCACAATATTCTCATTTTCTGAGATTGTGGATTTGGGGTTTTCATGAGCTGTAAGCCATAATCATCACAATGATGACAAATCACGGCTTGAACTATCTTGCTTTGCATGTAATGAGTCTATCTCATATATTAGTGTCACCTTTTAAGTTGCTGCACTGAAATAAATGAACTTTTGCACGATTTTCTAATTTTTTGAGTTTCACCAAATACTTATTTCCTTCACCTGTATATCAAATACTTATTTCCTTCACCTGTATATCAAATACTTATTTCCTTCACTGTACATAAGCAGATACAAGTCAGCAGGGTGTATTAGCCAAATAATGGAACGTCCAATGACACCAAGGAGGGACGAGCAAAAACCTGAACCAAATAGTAGCAGCAGCAATCCATCATATTACCAAAAAAAAAAAAAACAGAGGAAAAACCACTACCGAGAAGTATCAACTCAGAACATATGGGGAAAAAAAAAAACCAAACTAATAAAAGAAAATATAAGAACATAGAAAGAAATAAGGAAAGAAGAAAGATTCAGGAAGAAAGATTCAAGGAGAAAACATGGAAGAAAGGAAGACTAGAAGAGTCACGGATCCAGGGCCAGCACAGGCAACGACTATAAGAGGCTTCTATGGAGTCCAATTCTATAAGAGGTCATAGCTAGTGGAAGGCAAGGACGGCAGGGAATAATGTATCCAAGGTTCCCAAACCTGAAGGAATCTCGGATGAGAATCTTGAAGAACGCTAGACATCTGTTCATTGATCGTCATAGCATTCATCTGGGTGTCCATCCCCTGGAAGACAACCGAAGGGGTTCTCCAGGCGTGATCTATAGCACGTTTGGCCAAAATGAATAAGGAGTATTATTTTTCATTTTCGTAAACCGCGTGGAGCCTGCAGATCAATCCTTCCCATCCCTCGGGCAAAGTGTCCATCCAGAATTTCGGTTTACAATTTGGACACGGCCTATTCTACAATTTATTCCAAACTGCATACTGCTGTCTGGTTGGCCATGGTGCACGTAGTGCGCAGAAACCAAAGCTTCTATGTATGGTGTCCAGTTCTACTTTCTCACGGATGCAAAGAAAGAGTATTTTGATTTTCGTATCCTCGCGGTCGTGGAAACTCACAGCTGGCTGCAGGATGAATGGAAAAGTCCCCTTAATGTACTTAGAGTGCAAAGTCGCAATTAAATGTGTAATATGATCATTTATAATGAAACTGGAGGTTTCCTGTAACCTCTCCATCGTTCTTGGCTGTGGTTCCTCTGTCCCCGGCCGTGTCCAACACATCGATAAAACGATCCCGCGAGGTTAGTAGAGCAATCATTGTGTCATTTCGGGGTGGGTTCTGACACCTCCACTGCTAACTGCTGAAGCCCCCCCTCCCCCACGCTCCGGGCCCGCCAAAGTCTATCTTGGCAGCAGGAGAGTCCTACTGGCAGAGCCTCAAATGCGTGACCTGGCACTTACTGCTGCAATGACTACACAGCTGCTTCTATAGGGATGTTTAACCCTCGCTATGCTCCTAGGAGGGAATAGAATATTGGAGGGGGGGGGGGCAAGGAGTAGATGAGTCCTGAGTAAAGCAGGCCATCTAAGCATTGCTGAATATCCTTTCTTAACCACTTGAATGCGGGGGACGCTTAGAAACGTCCACCCGCTCCAGCAGCGCTCCCATCCGGCCATTTATCTACATGGGCCTGACGGGAGCGCTGCCGGAGCTGGTGGACGTTTCTAAAAGCCCCCCGCATCCATTGCCTGTGCGCGCTCCCTGGGAGCACGCGGCACCGAACACCAATCGCTGTACCTCTGTGTCAGATCCCATTCATGTGATCCCTTATTGGCCAATCAGTGTTCACAGGAACAGTAGTAAACAAGATTTCCCTTCCTGACATGATTGCTTACTACGTGTGAAATCTGTGAATGATCACAGAGGTCACATGGTACAGGGCTATTCACAACAGCCTTGTACCATGTGTACCATGTGACCCCACAGATCTCTTTGCACTGGCGCACTTCACGCACATCACCGGGATGATGCCTGCAGCTGTAGGCATCATCCTGGTATAAAGACTGAAACCCAATGACGCCATATGACATCCTATGGGTGGGCAAGCGCTTAAACCACTTCCCGTCCAGCTCATGTACATAAACGGCCATACGGGAGCGCTGCCGGAGCGGGTGGATGTTTCTAAATGTCCCCCAGCATCCATTACCTGGGAGAGCGTGGAACCGCGATCGGTGCCCGCTGTACGGGACCTCTATGTGAGGTCCCGATTCATGTGATCACGGATTGGCTCCTGTAGTATGTCTGCAGTCTCTGACAGGGAAGACTGTCAGAGACTGCAGACATACTACAGGAGACTGCGGATATAATACAGAACTAGGTCACAGAGTGAAAACATGCTGCAGGGGAGGTTTGGGACCTACTATTACTGGGCACACATTACATGAGACTGCTAGAGGATACTGCCATTATAAGCCCCTTCACAAGTCAGTGCTCCACACTCCTGACTGCTGGAGAAAGAGGGCTCCACTACAAGTCCTGATGGATCTCATGTAACTCCCCCAATCACAGGTCGCGCACAAGGTTTCTAAATCATGACTAGAACCACCACATTGGAAACATGGCCGCCGCTGTGAAATTTTCTGTCTCCACTAAAGAGTTTCTTTTGAAATGCGACATCCGATTTTACCTGTTCAGCTGGGTACACACACTGCTGAACGGAAAAAACGTACAGATCGACAACCTAAATAAGTGTTGTTAGTACTGCAATTTCCCAGCTGGACTACGCCAGAACACGCTGATCAGCGCTCGCAGCCATTGGCTGCGAGGGATGATATGATACTGGTTTTCCAGCATGCTCATACGACAGAAGGCAGTTGTGAGACCGTCTTCTGTCAGACAGGGAGCTGAACACACGGGCCGAAAGTGGGCCAGTTCCTGCCGAACCAACCGTTTTTGGACCATTTTTGGCCCGTGTGTACCCAGCCTCAGGCTGGCCATACGCAGAATGAATTTTGACATGTTCCTGAAGAACAGGACAAAAGTCGCTCCATGGGTGGTCCCGTCGGAGTCACTTTGGGTGGGGGGCCCATGGAACTCAGCTCACTTTGGAGAGGTGGGGAGACCCCTGTCTCAGCTTCCCATATCCCTCTTATGTGTAAGTCACCCTGTGCCTGTTAGGGGTACAGGGTGATCTGTCATAATATTGTCTAGACATGTATAGGTGGGGTGGGTGGGGGTTGTGGATTGTTTGGTGTTATGTGGTTGCATCCCGTTGTTCTATTGTGTGTCTTGCTTGGGAGCAAACTATTATGGGATGTATGTGTATTAGCTTGGTGGGGGGGGGGGGGTGTCTCCAGCAGCCCTCCCTCCTGATGGGACTGTCTGCTGGTGTGTCTCTTGTTACTAAATGTAGATTGCCCCGCCCTGTGTCATTATGCAGGGAGGAGGGGTTGTTCCCTTGAATCAGGGGTAGGCAACCTGAGAGCCGCAGGACAAGTTCCATCTTGCCTCTGCAAATCATAGCTATAACTGTCAGTTTTGTAATCTTTGCAATGCCTCATGGGAAATGTAGTTCCACAACAGCTAGAGAGCCACAGGGTGCCTACTCCTGCCTTGAATGTATATATCTTGTATCTGTGTGTTAACATAGTCTACTTCCTGATTTACTTCAAGACTGGTGTCGTCTAGTCTCGTATGGTCGGCTGTGGTGTCTGTTGTCGGTGTTCGGACGGGGAAGCGGGAGTCTAACGGAAGTACCAAGCGCAGTCTGGAGTTGGTTCCGTTACAGTCGGCATCCACCTGCCTGACATCTTTTGACTGTGAAATCAAATGAACCGTAACTGTAAAATGACTGGCCGAACAGCATCTGCATCCAATCATACGCGTGCACTGTTCAGGTATTAGATGCAGCGGGAGATTCCTCCACCCGCGCTGTTAGGCGTGGATGGAGGATTCTGTATGTTTTTGGTTTTTTTTTTTTAGTTCAGCTCACAAATACTGAAGAAGGGTTTATCACATTGTGGGATCTTGTATATCCTCCCCTGTAATGAATATCAACCATAGCATGCTGTAATACTCACGCTCCAACAATGCTGACGCTGCCCTCCCTCTCTGGGTTCCCCAGACACTTCACCCGGCCGGCACGCTCGTAGAAGGAAGCCAATCGGGCTCCCAGGTAAGCAGGATAACCACTGTCTGTGGATAGAGAACAGAGCTGTCAATTGGTCAATCCACCGAAAAAGTAACAATAATGATCAGGGGTGTCCTAACCCACGGCCTGCATGCAGCCCCAGAGTGTCCGTCTGGTAGCCCTGGCATCCCTCCAGGTGGGCATTTGCCTGGCTTGTCAACATAGGCTGCCACGGCTGCTATGATTGCATGGCATCCCGACAGACATGCATGGGCTGGGCTTGTCTGCGTCGGCCACCGTGGCTACTGGGCTTGTTTGGCATCCCCGGCGGCCGACGCAGACAAGCCCAGCCCATACATGTCTGTTGGGATGCCATGCAATCATAGCAGCCGTGGCAGCCTACATTGACAAGCCAAGCAAATGCCCCACCTGGAGGGATGCCGGGGCTACCATGTTTACAACAACGCATCGGTGCCAGGTAAGTAAATGCTGCATGGCCAATGTAGGGGAAGCTGGCTGCTCCCCCCCCCCCCCAAATTCCTGCACCCCATAACCCCCCACCTCCCCACACATAGGCTACATTCACACTGGCGATTAGGGCCGGTGCGTATTGTGGCGGCTGTTCCTCCTGCGACTCTCAGCGGGTAGGTGCAGCTGCCAGCCCTGTTCACTAGAAGGACAAGTTCGCCGGCATCCATACCGGCGATTACCTGTGCTGATCACTGCTGGGCGCCTTTTGTCTGTGTACAGCAAGATTACTGCAGGCAATCACTGGCTGTGTAGAGAGGGGTGAATAGGTGTGGCCGCCGGCGTCCTGTCATTATAGTGAACGGGCCAGGCTGGCCGCACCTACCCGCTGAGAGTCACAGGAGTAACTGCTCATCAGCGATGCTTCTTGTGAAGTGTATGTGCGGCCCAGGAAGGTGACAAGGTTGGACAGCCCTGAAAATCCTTTGAGTAGCCAAGTTATCAAATTAAAAAATGCAGGTAAAGCACCATTTTAAATGCCTATTTTCAGTATTTTTCCTTTCCATAAATGATAGTTCCCTAGCACAGACCTCTCCCCCCTCCATGTTTGTCATAGCCCTCTCCTCTCCTGGAGGTGTCTTCCCACTTTCTGCTGGCCCAGCTCCTCCACCACATCCTTCATCCCTTTACATAACCTTTAATGTAGCTGTCGGGGGACGGATGAAGGTGAACAATATAAAGGGTCACTTAACCACTTCCAGTCCGGACACTTTCACCCCCTTTCAGACCACAGACCTCTCCCCCCTCCATGTTTGTCAAAGCCCTCTCCTCTTCTTGAGGTGTCTTCCCACTCTCTGCTGGCCCAGCTCTCCTCCATAACCCTGTTGGGGGACAGATTGAACAGTATAAAGAGTCACCTAACCACTTTCCGGACAACCCCCTTTCAGACCACAGACCTCTCCCCCCTCCACGTTTGTCAAAGCCCTCTCCCTTTTGACATAATCCCTTTACATAATGTAGCTGTTGGGGGACAGATGAAGGTGAACAGTATAAAGAGTCACCTAACCACTTCCAGTCCGGACACTTACACCCCCTTCCTGTCCAGGCCAACATTCAGCTTTCAGCGCTATCACACTTTGAATGACAATTGCGCGGTCATGCAACACTGTACCCATACAGTCAGGTCCATAAATATTGGGACATCTACACAATTCTAACATTTTTGGCTCTATACACCACCACAATAGATTGAAATGAAATGAACATGATGTGCTTTAACTGCAGACTGTCAGCTTTAATTTGAGGGTATTTACATCCAAATCAGGTGAACGGTGTAGGAATTACAACAGTTTGCATATGTGCCTCCCACTTGTTAAATCACACCCCATTTTTTTTTTTAACTTGCCTTCAATCAACCAGTAGGCTGCCACTGAATCAAAATGTCGCCTACCTCCCAAGCATGATAGGTCCAGCCAGTCTCTCTTTTCCAGACATTTGTCCCATCCAAGGTCCCCATTGGAGCCAGATGCACATGCACAGAGATCAGGGCAGGTTGGCTTTAATTGCACAGCCTTTGGATTCCAAAAGCTAGAAAAGGAAGGTTGGCTTGACCCAATCACCACGCATGAGCAACTGGTTCTATCAGTTCCCCACTGGGGTGGTGTGGATGTGTACTACAATGACGACGCCATCAGGAACGTTGCACCTGCTCCGTGTGACAGGACTACACTGCCTGGGATATTTGTTTGCTGGGGAAAGACCTCTCAAAACAGGGACTGTCTCTAGCAAACGAGTACTTATGGAAAACATTACCCGAGGAGGAAGCTGCCTTCTCATACCTTGAGGATAGGACAAAAAACAAACACCAGGGACATTGGGGGAACGCCTGCGCAGTGCGACAGAACTACCCCACTGGGGACATCTGTTGCCAGGAAAAGACCCCTCAAAAAAGGGACTGTCCCCGGCAAACAGAAATGGATAGAGACTATATCACAGAGGAGGAAGTTGGTGTCTCATATCTCTTGGATAGGACTACCAAGGACATTGGGGTGCTGCCTGTGCAGTGCGATACGATTACTCACTGGGGACAGACCCCTAAAAGCAAGGACTGTCCTCAACAAAGCTGGATGGCAACCATATCACAGAGGAGGAATTTGGTGTCTCATATCTCTTCGATAGGACTACATTGGGGTGCTCCCTGTGCAGTGTGATACGATTACTCACTGGGGACAGACCCCTCAAAGCAAGGACTGTCCCCAACAAAGCTGGATAGCAACTATATCACAGAGGAGGAAGTTGGTGTCTCACATCTCTTGGATAGGACTACCAAGGACATTGGGGTGCTGCCTGTGCAGTGCGATATGATTACTCACTGGGGACAGACCCCTCAAAGCAAGGACTGTCCCCAACAAAGATGGATAGCAACTATATCACAGAGGAGGCAGCTAGCTTCACGAGTCTCCTGAACCTCTACCAAATCATGGGAAAGCCACAGCATCTACTCACTGGAGAGTCTCTATGAGGGGGCAGATTTGTCAAGATTTGCATTTTGGGAACTGAAGCCGAGATCAGTTTCCCTATTAGAAAAAAATATTGTGTCATTTCTGCCAAATGGGCTAAAATTAATTTTTAGGGTTTAGACTTCTTTACTGTTGGCAGGCTGCTTATGCTGCACCTGACGCTGGGACGCCCATAAAAAAGCTGGATGCTGAAAGTCTGAAATCGAAACTGCTGTGTGGACTCTCAATATCTGCACATCAAATCCTCAATTTGAGGCCATCTGCTCTGAGACTTACAGGAAGCAAGGTAGGTGCTGCCATTACAAAATATTATTTTTTAAAAGCACTTATTATTATTATTATACAGGACTTATATAGCACTGACAGTTTGCTCAGCGCTTTACATTATGGTGGGAGACAGTACAGTAACAATACAGTTCAATACAAGAGGGATAGGAGGGCCCTGATCCTGGAGCTTACAATCTAGGAGGGAGGAGCTAGTGGTACAAAAGGTAATAACTGTGGGGGATGGACTGGTTGGAAGAGTAGAGGATTCCAGTATTTTTGAGGGCAGGATAGGCTTCCCTGAAGAGAGAGGTTTTCAGAGATCGCCTAAAAGTGAGCAGAGTAGGCGATAGTCTGATAGATTGGGGTAGGGAGTTCCAGAGGATGGGAGAAGCCCTGGAGAAGTCCTAAAGACGGGCATGGGAGGAGGAGACAAGGGAGCTAGAGAGTAGGTGGTCTTGCGAGGAGTGGAGAATACGGTTTGGGTGATATTTAGAGACAAGATCGGTAATGTAATTTGGGGCAGAGTTATGAACGGCTTTATACGTCGTCGTTAGTGCTTTGAATTTTATCCGTTGGGCAATTGGGAGCCAGTGGAGGGTTTGGCAGAAAGGGGTGGAGGACACTGAGTGGAGGTCAGCGGAGGGATTGGCAGAGAGGGATGGAGGACACTGAGTGGAGGCCAGTAGAGGGATTGGCAGAGAGGGGTGGAGGACACTGAGTGGAGGCCAGTGGAGGGATTGGCAGAGAGGGATGGAGGACACTGAATGGGGGCCAGTGGAGGGATTGGCAGAGAGGGATGGAGGACACTGAATGGGGGCCAGTGGAGGGATTGGCAGAGAGGGGTGGAGGACACTGAGTGGAGGCAGTGAAGGGATTGGCAGAGAGGGGTGGAGGACACTGAGTGGAGGCCAGTGGAGGGATTGGCAGAGAGGGGTGGAGGACACTGAGTGGAGGCCAGTGAAGGGATTGGCAGAGAGGGGTGGCAGATATGAATCGGTCAGTAAAGTGGATGAGTCTGGCAGCAGCATTCATGATAGACTGGAGAGGGGATAGCCTGCGATGAGGTCGGCCAATGAGGAGGGAGTTACAGTAGTCAAATCGTGATATAATAAGGGAGTGAATGAGTTGCTTAGTGGTTTCCGGGGTTAGGAACGGTCGTATCTTGGAGATGTTGCAGAGGTGAAGTCTACATAAATTTGACAGTGATTGGACCTGGGACCAGTGACTTACATCACTCTCTTCGTGAGCCCCAAATCTTATTCTTAAACTAGATACTTGCGAATCTGTATTTTCATGCAGCTTGGGCCTGGTCACTTGTCTCCCATGTGGCAACCAGCAGGCGGGTGCAGGGGATAGGAGAGCGTGCTTGACAACAGCTGGTAAATCCTGGAGTGGTGGCATCACCTATAGGCTTCAATGGCCCATCTGCTGTTGGCGCTCCCTCCTTTCCCCTGTAGCGACCACTGGATAGGAACAGGGGAGCCAATCAGATGACTGGACCAGAGCTGCATCAAAATAAATAAATATATGCATCTTTCTTACACCCGGGTGGGGGTGGGGGTATTTTTAGGACTAGTTCAGGTTATTCCGGAAATCTACGTAATTCAGTCACAAGGCTCCAGTCCCACCCATCACTTGCCATGGCTGGTGTGAGAAGAACAAGGTGATGTACTTACCAGCAGGCATTTCAGCCAGACGTCCTGAGATTTCTCGAAGAGCCTCGGCCCATCGAGAGGTGGAGTCGGCCATCATACTGACATGGTACCCCCATGTCTCGGAAGTATTCAGACAGCGTGATTCCTGTACAGAAAGGTATATGGGAGGTCAGAAAGGAACTCTTGCTGAGGGTATCAGAACAGCAGAAGAAAAGCATCCAGCGTTACCTGTATAGATAGAGGCCTCTCTGGCGGCCACAGGCATGTTGGAGGTGTTGGCTACCAGCGATGTTCTTTTCATGATGCTCTCCTCTTTCCCGTCCACTTCCATCGTCAGCTGCAAAATAAATCCGGGCCATGTTATTGGACGCGCACCTCTCACAAGAGATTCAGTTACAAGTTTGAAAAACAAGAAATGTAAGTTTCCCGTCTCCAGAAACCTCTGGCTTAAAACCCAGATTAATAAAGCGCATCGGAGTGTGCCAAAAACGACAGCTGCTCTTTACTGCCGGCTCGACGCGCACGTCCCTGGGTGACGGGTCAAAAGTAGGTCAAAGGAGGTAAACCGCAGGCACTACAAGTGGCAGCATACCTTGGCAAAGAAATGGCCCAATCACTGTCCAATCCTTTGTTAGAGGGACATTCAGAAGCGCTTGATGGCCAATCAGATTTTTGTGCTGGAAGTCAACGTTTCTCCAAAGGGCCATAAAACTCAACTGTACACATTTTTCTTCCTTCTTTTACAAATTCTGCTTTAACATCTGCGGGCCCTTAGGGGCCCCACCTTCAGTACTCATTACTACAAGAACACAGTGCATACTGCTCCACAGTGATGTCCACAATGCATAGCGAGGCTGCCCTGAGATCTGCCTGCTTAACCACTTTCACCCCCTTCCAGTCCGGACGCTTTCCCCCCTTCCAGTCCGGACACTTTCCCCCCCTTCCAGTCCGGACACTTTCCCCCCCTTCCAGTCCGGACGCTTTTTCCAGTCCGGACCTTTCCTCCCCTTCCAGTCCGGACACTTTCCCCCCCTTCCAGTCCGGACACTTTCCCCCCTTCCAGTCCGGACGCTTTCCCCCCCCTTCCAGTCCGGACGCTTTTCCCCCCTTCCAGTCCGGACGCTTTCCCCCCCTTCCAGTCCGGACGCTTTCCCCCCCTTCCAGTCGGACGCTTTCCCCCCCTTCCAGTCCGGACGCTTTTCCCCCCCCTTCCAGTCCGGACGCTTTCCCCCCCCTTCCAGTCCGGACGCTTTCCCCCCCCTTCCCACGCTTTCCCCCCCCTTCCAGTCCGGACGCTTTCCCCCCCTTCCAGTCCGGACGCTTTCCCCCCCTTCCAGTCCGGACACTTTCCCCCCCTTCCAGTCCGGACACTTTCCCCCCCTTCCAGTCCGGACACTTTCCCCCCCTTCCAGTCCGGACACTTTCCCCCCTTCCAGTCCGGACACTTTCCCCCCCTTCCAGTCCGGACACTTTCCCCCCCCCCCTTCCAGTCCGGACACTTTCCCCCCCTTCCAGTCCGGACACTTTCCCCCCCTTCCAGTCCGGACACTTTCCCCCCTTCCAGTCCGGACACTTTCCCCCCCTTCCAGTCCGGACACTTTCACCCCCCTTCCAGTCCGGACACTTTTCCCCACCCCCTTCCAGTCCGGACACTTTCACCCCCTTCCAGTCCGGACACTTTCCCCCCCTTCCAGTCCAGACACTTTCCCCCCCCCTTCCAGTCCGGGACACTTTCACCCCCTTCCAGTCCAGACACTTTCACCCCCTTCCAGTCCGGACACTTTCCCCCCCTTCCAGTCAAGACACTTTCCCCCCCCTTCCAGTCCGGACACTTTCACCCCCTTTCCAGTCCAGGCCAATTTTCAGCTTTCAGCGCTATCACACTTTGAATGACAATTGCGCGGTCATGCAACACTATACCCCTATGAATTTTTTTAGCATTTTTTTTTTGAGACAGATAAAGCTTTATTTTGGTGGTATTTATTCACCGCTGGGATTTTTATTTATTTTTTGCTATATAAATGAAAAAGGTAAAAATTTTGAAAAAAAGTGTTTTTCTTACAAAATTTTGCAAATAAATAATATTTCATCATAAATCTTGGCCAAAATTGCCACCGTTTATATACAACAGCCGGATGGGAGGCAGTTAAATTCATATAATGCATCCCTGTGCTTTTATTGTATACGCATAAACCTTTTTTTTTTGTCTGCCTGTCTGGACATGGAAGATGTCAGAGGACCCTGGTGTCACTCAGGAAGAGATCCGATGATTTAAACCAAGTAGAATACAAGTGAATCTTCCAGTAAGTGGTCCGGTGTACATCGCCCCTCACCTCGGGGAAATCTCTCAATACTTCAGACATCTCATTTCCTCTCTCTCCACACCCCACGTAGATGATGACATCACTGTTGGAGTACTTGGACAAGGACTGCGAGATCACGGTCTTGCCGCAGCCGAAAGCCCCGGGAATGGCGGTGGTCCCACCTTGGACACATCTGAGGAAAAACAAGCAATTATATGTAGAGAGTTAAAAAGGAATACGCTTTAACCACTTTACCACCACCCTATAACAGAAATACTGCTACAAGGTGGCAGGGGGGCGCAAAATCACGTGATTTCGCATTTCTGGGTCGCCATTAGCGGCCTCGGCTGTCAATCATCAGGTTCCAGCCAGTGATTACAGAGTAATACTGACAGGGGGGGAGAGAATTGTATGTAAACAAAACAGTTCTCTCCCCTGTCAGCTCCTGCACACTGCTTTGTATGGCTCTGCATAGCACAGCCATACAAAGCAGTGTGCTTACAGTTGAAAGCACAGACACACCGCCCCCTAGTAAAACACTCCCAGCACACAGTTATTATTAATATACAGGATTTATATTATTATTATTATTATTAATATGGGGTGGACTGGTTGGAAGAGTAGAAGATTCCATTATTAGTGAGGGCAGGATAGGCTTCCCTGAAGAGATAGGTTTTCAGAGATCGCCTAAAAGTGAGCAGAGTAGGCGATAGTCTGATAGATTGGGGAAGAGAGTTCCAGAGGATGGGGGAAGCTCTGGAGAAGTCCTGGAGACAATCATGGGAGGAGGAGAAAAGGGAGCTAGAGAGTAGGGACTTTTTGCAATGAAGTCAACGGGGTGGGTACTTTATGCATTGAAGACAGTGGGGGGGGGGCTTTTTGCATTGAAGACAGTGGGGGGGGGGGGCTTTTTGCATTGAAGACAGTGGGGGGGGGGGGGCTTTTTGCATTGAAGTAGATGGGGGGGGGGGGACTCTTTGCATTGAAGTCAATGGGGGGAGGGGGGACTCTTTGCATTGAAGTCAATGAGGGGAGGGGGAGCTTTTTGCATTGAAGTCAAATGGGAGGGGGAGCTTTTTGCATTGAAGTCAATGGGGGGGTCTTTTTGCATTGAAGTCAATGGGGGGGGGTCTTTTTGCATTGAAGTCAATGGGGGGGGTCTTTTTGCATTGAAGTCAATGGGGGGGTCTTTTTGCATTGAAGTCAATGGGGGGGGTCTTTTTGCATTGAAGTTAATGGGGGGGGTCTTTTTGCATTGAAGTCAATGGGGGGTCTTTTTGCATTGAAGTCAACGGGGTCGGTACTTTTTGCGTTGAAGTCAGTGGGGGGGCTTTTTGCATTGAAGACAGTGGGGGGGGGGGGGGCTTTTTTGCATTGAAGACAGTGGAGGGGGGGGGGTTGCATTGAAGTAGATGGGGGGAGGGGGGACTCTTTAACCGCTTTCCCGGCCGCCCTATAGCAGAAGTACTGCTACAGGACAGCGGGGCTGCGCAAAATCACATATATATATATATACACACATGTGATTTTGCATTTCCGGGTAGCCATTGGCGGCTACAGATGTCGATAACCGGGTCCCAGCCGGAGATCACCCACCGGCAACCGGTATAATAATAATAAACAACACGGGTCTCTCTCCTGCCAGCAAGGACATGCTGCTTTGTATTTCTCTGCACAGCATGTCTCCCTAATAACACAGCACACAGTTAACCCTTTGATTGTCCCACATGTTAACCTCTTCCTGCCTAGTGCCATTAGCACAGTGTCAGTGCTTTTTTATTAGCACTGATCTCTGTATTAATGTCATTGGGATGTCAGTGGCAGTCAGTTCCCGCCCTCCAGTGTCAGAATGCCCGCCGCAGTCGCTGATCGCCACCATTACTAGTATTAAGAAGAAAAAAAAACATAAAAAAAAAAAAATTTCAGTATATATACACCACCATTTGTAGAAGCTATAAATTTCACGTAAACCAATTAATTTACACATATCGGGATTTGATATTTAGCAAAGACACGAAGCAGAATACATTTTGGCCTACATTTAGGACGAAATCTGATTTTTTAAAAAATTTTTTACTGGACATGTTTTATAGCAAAAAGTAATAAATAGGTTTTTTGTTTTTTTTTTTAAATTGTCGGACTTTTTTGTTTTCTAGCGCAAAAAAAAAAAAAAAAAAAAATGCACAGGTGATCAAATACCACCGAAAGAAAGCTCTATTTGTGTGTGTGTGGGGTGGAAGACATATTTATGACGAAATATGATTTTTTAAATTTCTTTACTGGACATGTTTAATAGCAAAAGGTCAAAAATATTGTTTTTTATTACTCAAAATGGTTGGTCTTTTTTTTTTGCTTAAAAAATAAAAACTGCAAAGGCGATCAAGTACCACCGAAAGGAAGCTCAATTCGTGGGAAAAAAAGAACGTAAATTTCATTCGGGTGCAGCGTTGCATGACCGCGTAATTGTCAGTTAAAATATCGCAGCGCTGTATCGCAAAAAATGGCCTGGTCAGGAAGGGGGGGGGGGAATCCTCTGGAGGGCGAGGGGTTAAGAGATTTTATTTTTGACATAGCTATATGCACATCCCAATACCCCAAGGTGTGCTCGAGGGTCACTCAGGAACCACATTGTGTGATGAAAAGGGGGGGGGAGGTAAAATCTAAACTATGACAAAGGCCAGACATACATGGGTCAATTTCCGAACGATTTGTGCTCTGTTAGCGAGGCAATGACACCGGACGATTTTCGTGGTTCCTCCCCTGAAGTGGTTAAGGGGAAACAAGAAAGGATTTGGTCGATTTTGTTTTTTTTGTTTCCTTTATACATTATATGATCTTCTGATTTGCATCACTTAATATCCAATAGTTGTTAAAAAAAAAAAAAAAAAAATTCCACACATGACAAAGGATTCCCAAAGAAGTATGGGTTAGCTAACAGGACAGTATACCAAAGGAGAGGGTGCTGACATCCCCAGTGACACCAATAAAGTGATCAGTGCTAACAAAAAGCACTGACACTGAACTAATGGCACTGGGCAGGAAGGGGTTAACATCTGGGGCGATCAAAGGGTTAACTGTGAGCTGGGAGTGTTTTACTATGTGGGCGGTGTCTGTGTGCTTCACTGTGCAGAGCCATGCAAAGCAGTGTTCTGCAGCTGAAAGGGAGGAGAACTGTTTTGTTTACTAACAGTTCTCCCCCCCATCGTAGATCCTCGGCAATCACCGGCCGGGACCCGGTGTTTGACAGCCGTGGCCACGAATGGCAGCGCAGGTAGGGCACGCGTGCGCCCCCTACCCAGTAATGCAAAATCACTTATATATTTGTGATTTTGCGCACCCGTGACGTCTCGTAGCAGCATATAGGGTGGATGGGAAGCGGTTCAATCAAGTCCCAACCAAAATAAATAAAAATATGTGCAAACAATATACATTCCCTTTAGATTTTGCCCCGCCCCCCCTTACAGAATATACATATACAGAGTACTCACGGGAACAGAGCATCCAGCACCCTCTGGCCAGTCAGAAGCGGGTGATTGGCTGGCAGCTTCTCTGTCACTGGCCGAACCGTTCTCACCGGCCACACCTGGACCATTGTGAACTTCTCCTTCACTCCCTCAAACTCCAACTCCAGCACCACATCCTATAGGGAAGAACGGGGGAGGGGGGGAAAATGATGGATTGTGTCATTTCTATACATTCTGAAGTTCCTTGGTGTCAGTGACCCCACAATCATGCCTAACATAGCTTTTTCTTCTCGTTATTTACACGAGCATAAACCCTTGATGCCGACGCAACACAAATATGCGGCCTCACAGAACTGGGCTTTTTTCTGTGGGGCCGCACAAAGACCGGGTGTCACTGAGAGCCCCGGGTCCCGTTCTAACGATCGGGACCCGGGACTCCCGATTCCGGGTCACATGATTGCTGTGATAGCCTCTGATTGGCTATCACAGTGATCAAAAACTGTACAGCCCAGCCCCTTGTGTTTTTCTCTCTCTATGAATGAAGGAGAGAGATACATTGTATCATTATATACATTTTATTATACATTGTATCATTATATACATCCTATTATACATTGTATCATTATATACATTCTATTATACATTGTATCATTATATACATCCTATTATACATTGTATCATTATATACATTCTATTATACCTTGTATCATTATATACATTCCATTATACATTGTATCATTATATACATTCCATTATACATTGTATCATTATATACATTCTATTATACAGGTAAAACTCAAAAAAATTAGAATCTGGTGCATTCATTCATTTATTTTAGCAATGCAACTTAAAAGGTGAAACTAATATATGAGACTCATTACATGCAAAGCAAGATAGTTCAAGCCGTGATTTGTCATCATTGTGATGATTATGGCTTACAGCTCATGAAAACCCCAAATCCACAATCTCAGAAAATGAGAATATTCCATGCAATCAATAAAACACGGATTGTACATAGAACAATATCGGACCTCTGAAAAGTAGAAGCTGCATATGTACTCAGTACTTGGTTTGGGCCCCTTTTGCAGCAATTACTGCCTCAATGCGGCGTGGCATGGAAGCTATCAGCCTGTGGCACTGCTGAGGTGTTATGGAAGACCAGGATGCTTCAATAGCGGCCTTCAGCTCTTCTGCATTGTTCGGTCTCATGTCTCTCATCTTTCTCTTGGCAATGCCCCATAGATTCTCTATGGGGTTCAGGTCAGGCGAGTTTGCTGGCCAATCAAGCACAGTAATCCCACGGTCATTGAACCAGGTTTTGGTGCTTTTGGCAGTGTGGGCGGTGCCAAGTCCTGCTGGAAAATGAAGTCAGCATCCCCATAAAGCTCGTCTGTGGAAGGAAGCATGAAGTGCTCCAAAATCTCCTGGTAGACGGCTGCGTTGACCCTGGACTTAATGAAGCACAGTGGGCCAACACCAGCAGATGACATGGCTCCCCAAATCAACACAGACTGTGGAAACTTCACACTGGACTTCAAGCATCTTGCAGTGTGTGCCTCTCCATTCTTCCTCCATACTCGGGGCCCTTGTGCCTCTCCATTCTTCCTCCATACTCGGGGTCCTTGTGCCTCTCCATTCTTCCTCCATACTCGGGGTCCTTGTGCCTCTCCATTCTTCCTCCATACTCGGGGTCCTTCGGCCTCTCCATTCTTCCTCCATACTCGGGGCCCTTGTGCCTCTCCATTCTTCCTCCATACTCGGGGTCCTTGTGCCTCTCCATTCTTCCTCCATACTCGGGGTCCTTGTGCCTCTCCATTCTTCCTCCATACTCGGGGTCCTTCGGCCTCTCCATTCTTCCTCCATACTCGGGGTCCTTCGGCCTCTCCATTCTTCCTCCATACTCGGGGTCCTTGGGCCTCTCCATTCTTCCTCCATACTCGGGGTCCTTGGGCCTCTCCATTCTTCCTCCATACTCGGGGTCCTTGGGCCTCTCCAATTCTTCCTCCATACTCGGGGTCCTTGGGCCTCTCCATTCTTCCTCCATACTCGGGGTCCTTGGGCCTCTCCATTCTTCCTCCATACTCGGGGTCCTTGGGCCTCTCCATTCTTCCTCCATACTCGGGGTCCTTGGGCCTCTCCATTCTTCCTCCATACTCGGGGTCCTTGGGCCTCTCCATTCTTCCTCCATACTCGGGGTCCTTGGGCCTCTCCATTCTTCCTCCATACTCGGGGTCCTTGGGCCTCTCCATTCTTCCTCCATACTCGGGGTCCTTGGGCCTCTCCATTCTTCCTCCATACTCGGGGTCCTTGGGCCTCTCCATTCTTCCTCCATACTCGGGGGTCCTTGGGCCTCTCCATTCTTCCTCCATACTCGGGGTCCTTGGTTTCCAAATGAGATGCAAAAGTTGCTCTCATCAGAAAAGAGGACTTTGGACCACTGAGCAACAGGCCAGCTCTGTTTTTCTTTAGACTATGTAAGACGTTTGTTGTTCAGGAGCGGCTTGACAAGAGGAATACGATATTTGAAGCCCCTGTCCAGGATCCATCTGTGTGTGTGGTGGCTCTTGATGCACTGACTCCAGCCTCAGTCCACTCCTTGTGAAAGTCCCCAACACTTTTCAATGGCCTTTTCCTGACAATCCTCTCCAGGCTGCGGTCATCCCTGCTGCTTGTGCACCTTTTTCTTCCACACTTTTCCCTTCCACATAACTTTCTATTAATGTGCTTTGATACAGCACTTTGGGAACATCCAACTTCTTCTGCAATTACCTTTTGAGGCTTTCCCTCCTTATGGAGGGTGTCAGTGATGGTGTCAGGTCAGCAGTCTTTCCCATGATTGTGATTCCTACTGAACCAGACTGAGAGACCATTTAAAGGCTCAGGAACCCTTTGCAGGTGTTATGGCTGAATGAGCTGATTAGAGTGGGACACTTTGAGCCGAGAATATTCCACCTTTTCACAATATTCTCATTTTCTGAGATTGTGGATTTGGGGTTTTCATGAGCTGTAAGCCATAATCATCACAATGATGACAAATCACGGCTTGAACTATCTTGCTTTGCATGTAATGAGTCTCATATATTAGTTTCACCTTTTAAGTTGCTGCACTGAAATAAATGAACTTTTGCACCATATTCTAATTTTTCGAGTTTCACCTGTACATTGTATCATTATATACATCCCATTATACATTGTATCATTATATACATCCCATTATACATTGTATCATTATATACATCCCATTATACATTGTATCATTATATACATCCTATTATACATTGTATCATTATATACATCCCATTATACATTGTATCATTATATACATCCCATTATACATTGTATCATTATATACATCCTATTATACATTGTATCATTATATACATCCTATTATACATTGTATCATTATATACATCCTATTATACATTGTATCTCTCCAACTCCTGGCATAGAGGGAAAAAAATGTTTGTAGAAAAAAAAAAAAAAAAAGACAAATATTAAAAAATAAAATAAAAAAATAAAGAAAGAATACCTAGATCAAGGTTTGTCCGCTGTATATAAACGGCCGGCTGGGAAGTGCTTAAAACCTGAACTAGGAGAGAAAAAAAAAATTGCATGGCTCCACCCACTAAACTGATAAATGAGCCTTTCATTTTTGGATTTGTGGTGGAAGTAAGGCGTACAGATTCACTCTGTTCTAAGAACCCTCTACTGAGCCCCACTCTGTTTTGCTTGAAGGGACAATTGTTTTTTTTTTAGCCCAGCTCACCGTAACCGATTTAATATGTTTTGTGCCCAAAAAGTGTTTCGGTATGTTTGCACGATTCAATAAAATCTCATCATGTGGTTATAAAGCTGTAACTAAGCAGGACGGTGTAATAAACTCACGGAGGTGTCGTAGTGACCAGGAGGTGCCAGGTAGGTGACTGTGCCCCGGTTGCGAGGAGGGAGCATGATCTTGTGTCTGATCAGGGAGTTCTCGAACACCAGCCCATAGATATCTCCTCCTCCAGTGATATGACTGCCGACCTGCCGGACAAAAACACAACAAATCTTTGTAATAAAACCCGGGACTGGTCATTAAAGCGGATCTTCACTACATCTGAGCACAAAAAAAACACAATTTAATTCATTTTTAACCACTCCAAGTCCGGACACTTTCCCCCCCTTCCAGTCCGGACGCTTCCCCCCCCCCTTCCAGTCCGGACGCTTTCCCCCCCTTCCAGTCCGGACGCTTTCACCCCCTTCCAGTCCGGACGCTTTCACCCCCTTCCAGTCCGGACGCTTTCACCCCCTTCCAGTCCGGACGCTTCCCCCCCCCTTCCAGTCCGGACGCTTCCCCCCCCCCCCTTCCAGTCCGGACGCTTTCCCCCCCCCTTCCAGTCCGGACGCTTTCCCCCCCCTTCCAGTCCGGACGCTTTCACCCCCCCTTCCAGTCCGGACGCTTTCACCCCCCTTCCAGTCCGGACGCTTTTCACCCCCCTTCCAGTCCGGACGCTTTCACCCCTTCCAGTCCGGACGCTTTCACCCCCCTTCCAGTCCGGACGCTTTTTCCAGTCCACCCCCCTTCCAGTCCGGACGCTTTCACCCCCCTTCCAGTCCGGACGCTTTCCCCCCCTTCCAGTCCGGACGCTTTCCCCCCCCCTTCCAGTCCGGACGCTTTTCCCCCCCCCTTCCAGTCCGGACACTTTCCCCCCCCCCCCCCCTTCCTGTCCAGGCCAATTTTCAGCTTTCAGCGCTCTCACACTTTGAATGACAATTGCGCGGTCATGCAACACTGTACCCATATGAATGTTTTAGCATTTATTTTTTTGAGACAGATAAAACTTTATTTTGGTGGTATTTATTCACCGCTGGGATTTTTATTTTTTTGTTATCTAAATGGAAAAGTCAAAAACATTTTTTAAAAAAGTGTTTTTCTTACAAAATTTTGCAAATCAATCTTTCTTCATAAATATTGGCCAAAATGTATTCAGTTATTTTTTTAGTAAAAAAATAAACCATTTTACATTTTTTTATTATATTATTTCTGGGTCTGTGTGTGTGTGTTTTTTTTTTTAAATATACTGTCACCCTAGCAGTGCAGTGTCACCATGGTGACACTGTACTACTTGTGGGGGGTGATGAAGATTTTTTTTTTTTACGCTGGTTACTTTTACACCCATAAAGGCATTTCTCCTCTCTGGCTGCATTCAATGATTCTAATCAATGATGGGAGAATCGTGCGAGAAATGTAACTGAAAAAGAAATTAGCGCGATCTGTGATGTGGAAAGAAAAGAACATTCTTGGCCTGAAAATTATTTTCTGAAACTAAAGGCTTGGTTGGTCGAATTTCAAAATCAATGGTGGCGCCATCGGATTACAAAACACGAAATTTCCAAATTTCTAAAGAAAATTCGTTCGGAATTCGACCCGTGTATGGCCGGCATTAGTTGAGCCTGGGAGAGGAGTTAACTTTTATGACCTTTGGTGCAGGAGGTCTTCAATGACTGATTGCAAACCCCCCAGCTGGGGTGGGGGTCTCAAGTCTGGTTAACCCCTCGCCTACCGGGCACTTCTACCCCCTTCCTGTCCAGGCCAATTTTCATCTTTCAGTGCTGTCGCACTTTGAATGACAATTGCGCGGTCATGCAACACTGTACACATATGATATTTTTATCATTTTTTTGAGACAGATACAGACAAAAATGGGGGGAAAAAAAAAGAAAAAAAAAAAAAAAATCTGTGAAAAAAAAAACTTTCCCGAAAATTATTTTCAAAATTTTGGGGGGGTTTTTTTAAAAACAATTCGCCAATTAAAAAACAAATTTTAAACAAAAAAATTTTTGGAAATTTGGGGGGGATTATTTACCCGGGAGAGGGAAATTTTTTTAGACCCAAGGAAAAACGACCCCCCCCCATTGGGGGGGCCAACAATTAGGGCCCCCACCCCCTTTTTAAAAAAAAAAACCCAAAAAAATTTTCTTAAAAAAAAAAAAAGGACAGAAAACACAGGGGGTAAAATCTTTTTTTTTTTTTTTTGGCAAACCAAAACAAAAAAAAAAAAAATAAAATTTTGGGGGGGGGGAAAAAAAAAAATTTTTTTTTTTTTTTTTTTAAAATTTTAAAATAGGTTTTTCCCCTTCCTAGGGGTTTGGCGCAGGGGGGGACTGATGGCTGCATTGTGGGCTTTGAGGCCCCTGATGGCAGAGGCACACTTTTAAGGCACTGAACCATATAGGCACCGATAGGGGCATGAAAGGCAGCCGGGGGCCGGGAGGCCTGGGGGGGCATGTGGCACTGCAGGGGGGTTAAAACCCGACAGGGGAGGGGGCAAAAGTGCCTGGTCAGGTAAAAATCTAAAAAAACCCAAAAGGCCCCCTTTCTTCTTGCAGTTGGGGGGGGGAAAAAAAAAACCCTTTTTTTTTAAAATTCAGCTGTGATTGGAACAGTGATCACATGCCGGCCCGACATCTTCGGCTCTTTTTCCTTTTATCGGTGATCCCTGTGTCCAGGGAAACCGCCCACTGATCGCCGCGGGACGGCGGTTTTGATGGGAGGACGTATATGACGTCCTCCCCGAACGAGGGAACCCCCTTGGCCCGTCTTACCTTATATGGGGGGCGGGAGGGGGCTAAATAGAGCCCAGAAAGCAAATGAGAGAGAATGGGGGGGGTTTTACATGTGGGGGAGGAATGCCAGAATTGGCCCGTGCGGAAGCGGTTAACGGCAAGGGTCATGCTGCCGGCATTGCCCTGCAGGCACCTCAAAAGGGAGATGAGACAACCCGGCTTTAAAGGGAAACCCCCCGCAACCTCTGGAGCCCTACAGATCCACAGAACCTTGGGGGAGAAAGGTGACTACACCCTGACCTTATAAATGAAAAACCTTCAGGCATCCGTCCTTCATGCCCTGAAGCCATCACGGGTCCCTTTGAAGAGAAGAAAACCGTTTTATAGCAGTGGTTTTGCATACCAGAGTAAGCCCGGGAAAATGAAAACTCATTCAAAAAACCAAAAGAAATTCCCCCGATAAGGAGATTCTAGGACCAAGTTACAAGATGCCCAGTGGCACCCACGCCTACCCCACCCAAAACTTTTGGAGGGGTTTTTTAATTCCCCCCTTTTTTTGTCCTTGCTGAGGGTGACGTTGACACCCCCCGGGGGATGTAGATACTCTGTGGGTGTCCTGAGTCCTTTAGGGGATGCTGGAATACCATCAAAAATGGATCCCCCATGATAGCCTGGACCCATTCCCCGGAGTGGGGTTCCAGTCCGTAGTACAGGGTCGATCGACCGATACACCAGCTGACAGGATCCAACAGAGAGCTGTAAGGAAAATCATATTAATGGGATTCCGTATGCATATAACTAGCTCAATTCTGCAGAAGTAGACGAACTGTAAAAGATTACAGGTTTCCTCGTAGACCTTGGATGGTGGCCAATTTCACCTTCTAGACGAATAATTTCTCCGACCAAGCTTCGAGTGGTCCCACACGGAACCCAATCGGTCACATGGCTGGCTGGCCAGTATTGGAGGCTGTCACCATGTAAAAGAGATCCAATTACGGGTGGCAGAAGATCAATATATCAACATTACATACAGATAGAATATCACAGAAAGGATATCATTCACACATTCTAAATGGGACACTATTCCTCCCAGACTGACACCAACGATGGGTAACTATTCCTCCCACACTGATACCAACCATGGGGCCACTTATTCCTCCCAATGACACCAACCATGGGTGCGCTATTCCTCCCACTGACACCAACGCATTGAGGAACTAATCCTCCCAGAAACCAACGATGGAGGGGGACTATTCTTCCCACTAGACACCAACGATGGAGGGGACTATTCTTCCCACAGACACCAACGATGGGGCACTATTCCTCCCAATGACACCAACAATGAGACAGTATTCTTCCCACAGGTCATCAATGATGGCACACTATCCCTCCCATTGACACCAACAATAGGGCACTATTCCTCGAAATGACACCAACAATGGGGCACTATTCCTCCCACTGACACCATGATGGTGGGCACTATTCCTCCCACTGACACCAACGATTGGCACCATTTCCTCCCACCGATACCAATGATGGGTGCACTATTCCCTTCCAATGACACCAATGATGTGGCACTATTCCTCCCCTGACATCAATGATTGTGCACAATTCCTTCCAAATGGCTTTTACTTCCACAGACATCACAAATGGGCACTATTCCTACAATTATAAGACATTAAAAAATTTCTATTCCTCCACACTGACACCAACAATGGGGCACTACAATCCACTCACCGAACACCAATGAAGGGGTACAAAAAAAAAATAATATCTTCCACCAACACCTATGATGGGGCATTATTTCTCCAATACCGACACCAACAAATGGGACACCATTTTTTCCCACTAAAACGCCATCAATGGGGAACTATTTTCTCCCACTGACACCAATGATGGGGCACCAATAGCTGAGTCGCGCGCGACGATAACCAAAGATATTGTTTACCTCACTGATGCCAGGACACTTTCCTAATCGCACTGGCCACAGTCTGGCCCCATGAAGGGTTAGCGAACCCCATGCTGTATTCTAAAAAAAAAATAAAATCTGCACCCCAGGGGAGATAACATTATGTCAGGTAATATGCAGGATATATGGATACATGCTTCCTATCCGGAGAACCCGACTCCATTCAGGCCTGTCATTCAGCTGTACATATTGAGCGTCCAGATCATGATCAGGAACTCTCTCCGGGAACCCAGCCTTTGGTATAATTGCCCCCAACCGTGGCCATTTAGGAATTTGAAACATAGCCCCAAACGGGGTCAAAAAAAACCTGTTTGGGTAAAAAACCTACGGGGGATTTACCACCTACCTCCCTTTACTAAATTTGGGTACCCCATTTAAAGGCACGCCCCTAAAACCCGGGGAAAGGCCACCCTGGTTTCTCTAGCTGTTGTGGAACTACATTTCCCATGAGGAAATTTGAAAACTTTAAAAAAACTGACAGTTACAGCATGATTTTAAAGGGGCATGAGGGAACTTTTTATTCCTCAACAGCTGGAAAAGACGCAGGTTGACTACCCCCCCCTTTACACAAATAGAAATTGAAGGTTTTATTTAAGAAATGGGAAATAAAATTCCAACGTCTCTGAGTCCCCCCAAACAGGGGTTTGGATAAACTACACTGATTCTGCCCTTTTTCGGAAATGGGGGAACCAGCCTCCCTGACCCGTGAAAGGGCAGCTGAAGCAAAGCACAGAGAGCCTAGCCGGCTCACTGAAGGCCCGCATTTCCCTATTTAAAAGAAATATTTCTTGAGCTTCTCAGACCTGCATCCAGATATTTGGTATCATGTCATACGTGGGGGGGTGCCACAAGGAGAATGGGGAGGGAGGGATTCTTGTTGGAAGGGATGAATTTTTGGGAGTTTTGTGCTACAAGAGAGATGATAGTGGAGAGGATATGTTTGGGAAGGGGGGGGGAGATTTATGCTAGGAAGGGGTATAGGCGGGAACAAGTGTTGGAGGGGGATTTTGGGTTGGGGGGGGGGGACTTGAGGGAAAATTTGAGGGGGGAGTAATTTGTGCTAGTTGGGGGATTGTGCTGGGAGAGGGATTTGGGCTGGGGGGATGTGTGCTTGGTGGGAAAATTTGAGGGGAAGTATTTGTGCTGAGTTGGGGGATGGGTGTGCTGTGAGTATGGATTTGGCCCCTGGGGAGGGATTGTTGGTGTCAGAGGGGAATGGGGGCTGGGGGGAGGGTATTTGTGTTGGGGTGAAATGGGGTACTTTGGGGGGAAAAATTTGAGGGGGAGTGCTAGAAGGGGGATTTGGGGGTTTTTTTTCTGGGAAAGGGTTTTTTTGGAGGGGGGGGGGAGGGGGTATGTTACCCCTTTTTAGGGGGAAATTTTGAGGGGGAAAAAATTGTTCAAGAGGCAATTTCAGCTGGGAGGGGGGTTTAGGGGGCGCAGGGGGTAAGAATTGTTCTAGGGGATATTGGGGGGTGTGTTCTAGGGGGGTTTTTTGGGGGGGGGGGGAGGGTTTTGGGGGTTTGGGACTAAAGAGAAGAGATAGTGGAAGGGGGGAGGGGAAAATGTTGGGGGCGGGGGGGGGGGGGGATGTAACTTGGGAAAGGGTAATTTAAAAAGGGGGTGGGGGTATTTGCTAGAAGGGGGTATTGGGGGGAAATTTTTCTGGGGAGGGAAAAGGATTGTAACTTGGAGGGGAAATTTTGAGGAGGAAGTTTTTTTTTTTATTGTGCGGGAAGGGGAAGGGGGGGAAAAGTTGGGGGTGAAGTTTACCGAAAAACAGTTTCTAGGAGGATATTTTTTTTGTGGGAATTTTTTGCGAAGGGATTTAGGGGAAAGAGGAAATTTTTCGGGAGGGGGATGGGGGCAAATATCGTGTTGGGAAAGGGGAATTTTAGCAGGGGGGGGATTTGTAGGGAAAGGGGGTTTTTTAAAAGTATAACTTATGCTTTGGGGGTAAAAACATGAAGTTTTAGTGCTCCCCCCTTTTTTGGGGGGGGGGAATTTTTTGCTGAAACTTAAGGGCCCAAAAATCGGGGGGGGGGGGGGCAGTTTTGGGAAAGTTTCCCCCCCTTGGGTCTAGCTGAAACCTTGTCCTGGCATGACCTGGGATACGACACACTCAAAGCCCCAAGCATGATAAAGGGGGGAAGGTTTATGACCCCGGGGCACCAATCCCAAACCCCCCGGGTCCCCCCCCGACACTCCATGGGGAAACCAAAAAACCTCCTCCCTTTCCCAACTTTTTATTCTTTTGGCAGTTTGGGAAAAAACCATTTCAATTAAAAAGGCGCAATGAAAAAAAGTGTTACGCATTTGAGGGGCGTGCCCTGAAAGGGGGAATCCTACAAAAACTGTATATAATTTACAAAAAACATCACTTATTGCGCCCTCAACCCGGGACCAAGGGGTCCTTGAAAAGCAATCCAATTGGGTAAACAACTCTTGATTTTTCTTTACAAGCAACAGGAGGGGAGAAACCCCCCCTCTACCCCCCGTCGCTCACTGGGGTTCCCCCACTCCCTTTAAAAGGCTTTGGGTTTGGAAAACCCCCCCGCCGGGTGGGTTTGGGGACCCCAAAAAAAGCCGAAACGGCTTTAAATTGGGTCCCACCCCTAAAGATAACCCCCAAGTTATGACCTTTACAAAAACGCCCTTTCCCCGGGGAAAGTCCCAAAAAGGGAAAACCATTGTCAAAAAATCAAAAGCATTCAAAAACAAAACCCATCTTGGGGCTTTTTATGCTTCTGACGAAGGATCTTAAAAGAAACCCCCGATCTCTCCAAAAAAGATACCTGTCCCCATACCATTTTTGTCACAAAGGAGTTTAAAAAAAAAACAATAAAAATGCTAAAAAAAATAACATTACAGCAAAAAAAAAAAAATTAAAAAAATGAATAATAAAAAAAAAAAAAAAAAAAAAAAAAAAAGAGTAAATGTCCTTGTCCCCTGTGGCTGGCCCCTCAAAGGTGAATGCACGGGGGTCGTCTCTAAAGAACAAACCCCCAAAAAAATGAGGGCCCCAAAACACGGCATTCATTTTCCCGCACCCCGGGGCCCCCTCTGTAAATCTAAAAGGGAGTAAACCCGTAAAGGCTTTTTAAAAATGTCCCCCATGGGTAGAAAAAATTTGCGTCATTTGGCCCAGCTGCATGGAGCGGGCAAAATTTTTTAACGTGACATGTTTGGTTTTAAACCATTTTAACCCCCGTCAAGTCATCTTTTTTAATTTTTACAAAAAACAAAAGGAAAATGTAATTTTTTTTTTTTTTTTTCTATTAAAAATTTAAACCAATGAATTTCTTTCCAAAAAAATTTAAAATTTTTTAAACTGCGTGCAAAAAAAAAACCGCGGGACAAAGAATTGCAAAAAAACCCCTTAATTTGTTTTCTCTTTAAAAGGGCCCCCTATTTAAAAAAAAAAAAAATAAATAAATTTTGTTTGGGGGGTTTTAAAATGGGTTTTTTCTAGGGAAAAAAATAAACAAACAAAAAGTGCCCGAAATACCGGGGCTCCCCTTTTGGTTTAAAGTTTTACTAAAAAAACCCCCGCCCCCCCCCTTCCATATCTGCCTCCCCCCGGCCCCCCCCCATTTCCCCTTTTATCCGCCCCCCCAGACCTAAAAACCGGGCCCCCCCTTCAACCCATATTCTGGGCCCCCGGAAAACCCCCGCATTTTACTATAATTTTTGGTTTTTCCCCCCGGGACCCCGCAAACCCCATAATCCCCCTTCCCCCCCCCCCCCGGCCCCCCGCATATCCTATTTCCCGCCCCTCATCCCCCGGGCCCCCCCATTTAAATTAAAATCCTTGGTTTTTCCCCCCCCTACCCCCCATTCACTATAATTCCCCCTCCCCCCCCGGACCCCCCCATTCACAAAAATCTGGTCTCCCGACCCGCATTCACTAAATCTGGGGCCCCCCACCCCCGAAAACCCCCCCATTCCCCCACCCCCCCCCCCCCTGCATTCACTATATCCCTTTTCCCCCCGGGCCCCCCATTCCAAA